TGTAAAGTGTTACCTTATTATTTTCTTGTGTTCCTGATCCTAGTGAGGCTCAGCGTCTTGTTAGTCAGTGTCCCTTCTTTGCGAATACTGATTCATATCTTTTGTTGGGCTTTATCTTTAAGAACCATATTAGCCTAGGGGCCGGCCCCATGGCCAAGTGGTTAAGATGGAGCGCTCCGATTCGGCGAAACCTGTTTCTCTGGTTCGGATCCTGGGCGCGGACGTGGCACCGCTCATTGGGCTATGCTGAAGCGGCGTCCCACATAGCTCAACCAGACGCACTCACAACTAGAACATACAACTATGTACCGGGGGCTCTGGGGAGGAGAAAAACAAAAAAAGATTGGCAACAGAATGTTAGCGCAGGTGCCAATCTTTAAAAAAAAGAGTGAGAGAGAGTGGAAGTGTTACCAATTAAAAGAAAATTGAAATGAAAAAAAAGATAACCATATCAGCCTAAATAAACCCCAAAGACTTGGGTTTAAATCTCGGTTCTGCTGCTTGTTTCTGGACCGTCTTGAGCAGCTCGCCTGACCTCTCTAAGTTTGTTTCCCTCCTTTGAATTAGGGAAGACAGCAGTGCCTGTCTCACGGGGTGGTTTTGCCCTCCGCAATAAGATAGTGAATGCAAAAGAACTACTTCTGCGCAGAGGGCTGTGGGAAAACCAGTGGTTGTTATCATCTGCAATCTTGCGTCTCTGACGATCTGACTCTGACAGGTGCTATCCAGATTCCAACAGTGTCTTTCAGCCCCAACGAGTTCAACACGACAGCCCTGGCTGAGTTTGGAGAATACATCCATGAAGGTTAGCCACAAGCTGTGGAAGGGGTGGGAGGTAGCATGCGGACACGATTCTTTTACAAGGCGATAAAGGTTATTTTGTGACTGAGCAGTGGGCAGTCTAATTCCCACGGGCCTATTTTGAGTGCGTCTGTAGTGAGGGGGTACAGAAGGGAGCATCCAGGAGTGAGAATGGAGGCAGACTACAAACTCTGAATTTGCTCTTTGAAGAACTAAGGCATGCAGCTGTTGGGCTGGAGTCTGAACTCTCCCAATCTTTGTCCTAAATATGCGTCGGTTGATAAATATGATATAATCAAAAGGTAGGACTAAGAATTCCTTCTTCCTGTGCAAGTTTCCAGAACAAGGCCCATGCTCCTCCCTGCCCTCCCTCTGTACACGCACCCAGGCCCCCCGCCTGCGCAGGCCCTGCTGAAGGTTCATCACCGGCATGTTTCTGAGCTGCCGGGCAGTGACTGGGAGCTGTCACTTCAGTCTTCTGCCTCGCCCCACCACCCAGGAGCTGAGGAACGATGGGTCGAGGGAAAACAAGGAGACTTGGAACAGCCTCCCGCCCCCGCCATGAAAAACTCCTGGGCAGTAGTGAGGCCATCTTCCTAAATCAAATGAGAAACAGCCACTTCCCAGCTGTCAGGCGCAGCGCGGCAGGTAGCCCTGCTCTAACGCTCTGGGCTGGGTGGATCTGGGGTCCGTCCCCAGCACCAGGCTGAGGCCGGGCTGGAAATCTTTACAAACAGGGAAATCAATATACAGTGACAGTAAACTAGAGAAGCTGGCGGACGAGATAAAAGCATTTTCTTCTTGCGGTTTTTGTTCAGGTATCCACAGAGGTATTTGGATTCTTCCAACAAAGCCCAGAGAGAAATAAAAGTTCTTTCTCCTATATAGTTAAGGCCACCTGTGTTAAGACCTATCTGTAACCCGAATTGTTGACCCTGGGAACATCTACACCTGCACAGAGAAGTGTGTCCTTGTGCTAGACAGAACAATCTTTTATCTCCATGTAACCCAAACTTTTTTTTTTTTTTGGTGAGGAAGATTTGTCCTGAGCTAACATCTGTTGCAAATCTTCCTTCTTTCTGAGCTAACATATGTGCCCATCTTCCTGTATTTTTTGTATGTGGAACACTGCCACAGCATGGCTTGCTGAGAGGTGCGTAGGCCCATGCCTAGGATCCAAACCTGCGAACCCCGGGCCACTAAAGCTGAGCATGTGAACTTAACCACTCTGTCACCGGGATGGCCCCCAACAGTTTTTTGTGAGAAAAATATCTCTAATTTTTTTAATACATTTAAGAGTCATGTTTGGTTGGTGGTTGGATACTGGGGCCTACTATGCTCAAAATTTAACACACCCGTAGTCTGCACAGCCTTGTAACGTGTCTCCTCCTGCCCGTGGGTCGTGTCCCCACGCAGCAGCTCCTCCTGCCCGTGGGTCGTGTCCTCATGCTCCAGCTCCTCCTGCCCGTGGGTCGTGTCCCCATGCAGCAGCTCCTCCTGCCCGTGGGTCGTGTCCCCATGCAGCAGCTCCTCCTGCCTGTGGGTCGTGTCCCCACGCAGCAGCTCCTCCTGCCCGTGGGTCGTGTCCCCATGCAGCAGCTCCTCCTGCCTGTGGGTCGTGTCCCCACGCAGCAGCTCCTCCTGCCCGTGGGTCGTGTCCTCATGCAGCAGCTCCTCCTGCCCGTGGGTCGTGTCCCCATGCAGCAGCTCCTCCTGCCTGTGGGTCGTGTCCCCACGCAGCAGCTCCTCCTGCCCGTGGGTCGTGTCCCCATGCAGCAGCTCCTCCTGCCTGTGGGTCGTGTCCCCACGCAGCAGCTCCTCCTGCCCGTGGGTCGTGTCCCCACGCAGCAGCAGCTCTTTACTGCCCGTGGGTCCTGTCCTCATGCAGCAGCAGCTCTTTACTGCCCGTGGGTCCTGTCCTCATGCTATTCCACACTGTTCTCTGAATAAAAGAGCACTACTGCCAGACCTTGAGAGTCCAAGAAATCTTTCTTTCGACTTCTCGGCTCACCAACCCCGCATCATTTCTGGTGGCCCGTACAGGGATCTTGCTTCAGGGGATCTGGCGTCAGGGGATGTTGCTTCAGGAGATCTTGCTTCATCGGCTTGTGAACTCGAGTTCTGGTCAGTGCCCTTTTTTCCTTGTGCCTTTCTCTTTTTCAAGGATGGATCTAAATTGACTTCTTCATTGGGAACCTTCTTGGACAGCTGTATGGATCCACGTTTGCTGCCCATGGCTACTCTATGGGGCAAATCATGGCATTCAGCTTGAAGGGAATCAGTACCTTAAGCCTGAGGGTGATGGAGAATGAATTAATCCATTCCTTCCTGACTCTGTCTCTAATATATAAATTTTACATGGGCACAGGTCAGCCACTTAAGTCATTAGGATAGTCACCAATCTCCAAGACTCCCATGGCAGGTTTCCTTTCCCAAGGCTGGAGTGGTATCCCTCCCTATTGCTCCTGACCACACTCCAAACCGTGGGAAAGTCCCAATCGGGACTCTGGTTCAAGGAAAGCACCAAACTCTAACCTTTGGTTGAGTATGGGAACCCCTTCTTGGGAGAATGGCTCCAGGATGCAATTGGGTAGAATGTCCCCCAGACTGGTGGAAAATTCCTCACTGTTTTTCTCTATCCTTTTCTCTCTGGGACCATTCACCAGGCACCTATTACTGCCAGGCAGATTAGGGAAGATATGCAAGGGATGCCCCCATCATCCCTTGTTACAGGAACCCCATTGGGGGGATTTTCAAGGTAATGGCTCCTTTTCTCTCGGGGACCATTCACCAGGCACCTGTTACTGCCAGGCATAACAGGGAAGGTATACAAGGGATGCAATGCCGGGGGACGCCCCCATCACCCCTTGCTATAGGAACCCCACAGGAGGAACAACGGGTAGGACGCTGCCCTAGGTTCAGGGGGAATTTTCAAGGTAATGGATCCTTTTCTTTCATCTCTCTTAAAGTTCTTTTCCCTCGGGGACCATTCACCAGGCACCTGTTACTGCCAGGCAGAATAGGGAAGGTGTACAAGGGATGCAGGGGATCTGGCTTGAGGGGATCTCGCGTCAGGGTGTGTTGCTTCATCGGCTTGTGAGCTCGAGTTCTGGTCAGTGCCCTTTTTTCCTTGTGCTTTTCTCTTTTTCAAGGATGGATCTAAATTCACTTCTCCATCGGGAACTTTCTTGGACAGCTGTATGAATCCACGTTTGCTGCCCATGGCTACTCTATGGGGCAAATCGTGGCATTCAGCTTGAAGGGAATCAGTACCTTAAGCCTGAGGGTGATGGAGAATGAATTAATCCATTCCTTCCTGACTCTGTCTCTAATATATAAATTTTACATGGGCACGGGTCAACCACTTAAGTCATTAGGATAGTCGCCAATTTTTACAGTAACCCTCAGGTACTGCCTTCATAGTGTTAGTGACAGGAGCCAGGAGCTAAACTCCTCTAAATGAGGGGGAGTGACTGAGAGCTTGGGGGCTGACAATAACAGTGATTAGGATATAATTTCCTATATTGACTTGAGTATACACGCTCAGGAGGAGACGGTAAGGTGCAGTAAATTATAGTCCTGCCTGGTTATTCTTTGTGATGGCAGCACCAGTTGCTATTCAGATCTCAATGTGATAAAGGATTCTGTTTCCCTGCATCTTTGCCAATACTTGATATTATCTGTTTTTATAATTCTTTCAGTTTTATAATTCTTGTCAGTTTAAAATCCTTGTCAGTTTTACATATCTTGTTAGATGTAAAGTGTTACCTTATTATTTTCTTGTGTTCCTGATCCTAGTGAGGCTCAGCGTCTTGTTAGTCAGTGTCCCTTCTTTGCGAATACTGATTCATATCTTTTGTTGGGCTTTATCTTTAAGAACCATATTAGCCTAGGGGCCGGCCCCCATGGCCAAGTGGTTAAGATGGAGCGCTCCGATTCGGCGAAACCTGTTTCTCTGGTTCGGATCCTGGGCGCGGACGTGGCACCGCTCATTGGGCTATGCTGAAGCGGCGTCCCACATAGCTCAACCAGACGCACTCACAACTAGAACATACAACTATGTACCGGGGGGCTCTGGGGAGGAGAAAAACAAAAAAAGATTGGCAACAGAATGTTAGCGCAGGTGCCAATCTTTAAAAAAAAGAGTGAGAGAGAGTGGAAGTGTTACCAATTAAAAGAAAATTGAAATGAAAAAAAAGATAACCATATCAGCCTAAATAAACCCCAAAGACTTGGGTTTAAATCTCGGTTCTGCTGCTTGTTTCTGGACCGTCTTGAGCAGCTCGCCTGACCTCTCTAAGTTTGTTTCCCTCCTTTGAATTAGGGAAGACAGCAGTGCCTGTCTCACGGGGTGGTTTTGCCCTCCGCAATAAGATAGTGAATGCAAAAGAACTACTTCTGCGCAGAGGGCTGTGGGAAAACCAGTGGTTGTTATCATCTGCAATCTTGCGTCTCTGACGATCTGACTCTGACAGGTGCTATCCAGATTCCAACAGTGTCTTTCAGCCCCAACGAGTTCAACACGACAGCCCTGGCTGAGTTTGGAGAATACATCCATGAAGGTTAGCCACAAGCTGTGGAAGGGGTGGGAGGTAGCATGCGGACACGATTCTTTTACAAGGCGATAAAGGTTATTTTGTGACTGAGCAGTGGGCAGTCTAATTCCCACGGGCCTATTTTGAGTGCGTCTGTAGTGAGGGGGTACAGAAGGGAGCATCCAGGAGTGAGAATGGAGGCAGACTACAAACTCTGAATTTGCCCTTTGAAGAACTAAGGCATGCAGCTGTTGGGCTGGAGTCTGAACTCTCCCAATCTTTGTCCTAAATATGCGTCGGTTGATAAATATGATATAATCAAAAGGTAGGACTAAGAATTCCTTCTTCCTGTGCAAGTTTCCAGAACAAGGCCCATGCTCCTCCCTGCCCTCCCTCTGTACACGCACCCAGGCCCCCCGCCTGCGCAGGCCCTGCTGAAGGTTCATCACCGGCATGTTTCTGAGCTGCCGGGCAGTGACTGGGAGCTGTCACTTCAGTCTTCTGCCCTCGCCCCACCACCCAGGAGCTGAGGAACGATGGGTCGAGGGAAAACAAGGAGACTTGGAACAGCCTCCCGCCCCCGCCATGAAAAACTCCTGGGCAGTAGTGAGGCCATCTTCCTAAATCAAATGAGAAACAGCCACTTCCCAGCTGTCAGGCGCAGCGCGGCAGGTAGCCCTGCTCTAACGCTCTGGGCTGGGTGGATCTGGGGTCCGTCCCCAGCACCAGGCTGAGGCCGGGCTGGAAATCTTTACAAACAGGGAAATCAATATACAGTGACAGTAAACTAGAGAAGCTGGCGGACGAGATAAAAGCATTTTCTTCTTGCGGTTTTTGTTCAGGTATCCACAGAGGTATTTGGATTCTTCCAACAAAGCCCAGAGAGAAATAAAAGTTCTTTCTCCTATATAGTTAAGGCCACCTGTGTTAAGACCTATCTGTAACCCGAATTGTTGACCCTGGGAACATCTACACCTGCACAGAGAAGTGTGTCCTTGTGCTAGACAGAACAATCTTTTATCTCCATGTAACCCAAACTTTTTTTTTTTTTTGGTGAGGAAGATTTGTCCTGAGCTAACATCTGTTGCAAATCTTCCTTCTTTCTGAGCTAACATATGTGCCCATCTTCCTGTATTTTTTGTATGTGGAACACTGCCACAGCATGGCTTGCTGAGAGGTGCGTAGGCCCATGCCTAGGATCCAAACCTGCGAACCCCGGGCCACTAAAGCTGAGCATGTGAACTTAACCACTCTGTCACCGGGATGGCCCCCCAACAGTTTTTTGTGAGAAAAATATCTCTAATTTTTTTAATACATTTAAGAGTCATGTTTGGTTGGTGGTTGGATACTGGGGCCTACTATGCTCAAAATTTAACACACCCGTAGTCTGCACAGCCTTGTAACGTGTATTTGTGCTAACATGTTACAGGTTGGACAAAGCCAGATCTTGAGCTATTGACTGTCATAGTGGTTGCGTCCCGATGTGCATGTTAGTACATAGTTACAGCACATGAAAATACAGGGAAGAGGAATTCCACGGTCATCTGGGCAAATCACAAATCAGTCTGGCTTTGTCCCAGAGGGCTTCCTAAAGGAGGCTGCATGTTTAAAAATGAAAAAAATGGGGCCAGCCCTGGTGGCCTAGAGGTCAGTTTTGTGGCACTCTGCTTCAGTGGTCCAAGTTTGGTTCCCAGGAGCAGACCTATAACACTTGTCTGTCAGTGGCCATGCTGTGGTGGTGGCTGACACAAAAAAGAGGAAGATTGGCAACAGATGTTAGCTCAGGGAAAATCTTCCTCAGCAAAAAAAGGCACTTTTCATCAAATGGTAAGAAAACCGAAGGAAACTGTTAAATCTGGCTTTCTCTCCCTGCTTTTTATCCCTTTGCCTCTAGTCTTTCCTACAGTTTTCAAAACCAGCTTTATCCAGCATGAAGTCGTGGGAGAGTACAGCCACCTGTTCACTGTCCAAGGCTCGGACCCCAACTTGCAGCCCTACATGCTGCTGGCTCACATTGACGTGGTGCCTGCCCCTGATGAAGGCTGGGAGGTGCCCCCGTTCTCTGGGTTGGAGCGTGATGGCTTCATCTATGGTCGAGGCACACTGGACAACAAGAACTCTGTCATGGTCTGAAATGCCGTGTTCCCTCTGCCTTGGGGCCCTCAGGATGGGGGCAGTTGGCTGACCCCTGGGAGGCAGGAGGCTATGTAGAATGAGCTTTAGCTCTAGGAGATGTGGGCTCCAGCCGTCAGCCTCTCGCTTCCTTTTCTGGACCTTGATTTCTCAACGATGCAGTAGGCATTAGAGTAGATGATCCCCAGGGACCTTCCCAGCTCTGACATTGATAAAGTTATGTTTTCTCCAGGTAGTGAAAGTTTTTATGCAGAGCTGTGCTTCCCTACATCCTCTCCCCCAGGACCCTATGAATTTGTTCTCTGTAAAGACTCTATCTGGGGGCCGGTCCAGTGGTGTCGTCATTAAGTTCACGCGCTCTGCTTCAGTGGCCCAGGGTTTGCGGGTTTGGATCCTGTGCGGGGACCTACACACTGGTCATCAAGCCATGCTGTGGTGGCGTTCCACATGCAAAATAGAGGAAGATTGGCACAGATGTTAGCTCAGGGCCAATCTTCCTCGCAAAAAAATAAATAAATAAAAATAAAGAGAGTCTGTCTGATCCTAGTCCCACCAGCCCTGATGCAGGCAGCTGAATGTTTCTGATGCCCTGGTGTCCCCACTTAGATAATAAGCCTTTCCCCTCTTCTGTTGTGCTTCTGTCCCACAGGCAATTCTGCAGGCCTTGGAGCTCCTGCTGATCAGAAGCTACGTCCCCCGAAGGTCCTTCTTCATTGCTCTGGGCCATGATGAAGAGGTGGAGCCTGTTCACCCCACGTCTATCTCTGGGACCCCTGTTGGTGGTGGGGGGAGGGCTTCACCCTAGTCCAGTTTGCTCCCCAGCTGCAGGGTCTCCAGGATGTGGTGTGGTCTGCTGACTTCTGTGTGTATTTGTGTGCCAACCATCTAAGGCCCTTGACCATAATGCAGATTCCTGGGCCCTGGGCCCTAGATCTGAATTTGTTTTTAAAGGGTTTTACTTTTTTAGAGCAGTTTTCGGTTCACAGCAAAATTGAGAAGAAGGTATAGAGATTTCCCTTATACCTCCTACCCGCATACGTGCATAGCCTTCCCCCATTATCAACATCCCCCGCCAGAGTGGTACATTTGTTACAACTGATGAAACTACATTGACACATCATCATCCCCCAAAGTCCATAGTTTACATTAGGGTTCACTCTTGGTGTTGTATGTTCTATGGGTTTTTTTTTTTCTTATCTTTTCTTTTTTTGATTAAGATTAGCCCTGAGCTAACATCTGCTGCCAGTCCTCCTCTTTTTGCTGGGGAAGACTGGCCCTGAGCTAACATCGGTGCCCATCTTCCTCTACTTTATACGTGGGACGCCTGCCACAGCATGGTGTGCCGAGCGGTGCTGTGTCCGTACCTGGGATCCGAACCGGGGAACCCTGGGCCGCTGAAGTAGATCACGTGCACTTAACCGCTGCACCACCAGGCCGGCCCGTGTTCTGTGGGTTTGCATAAGTGTATAACAACATGTATCTATCATTATGGTATCATGCAGAGTATTTTCACTGACCTTGAAACCCTCTGTGCTCTGTTCATCCGTCTCCTTCTCCCGGACCCTGGCAGCCACGCGTCTTTTTACTGTCTCCATAGTTTTTCCTTGTCCAAAATGTCACATAGTTGGAATCAGACAGTGTGTAGCCTTTTCATATTGTCTTCTTTCACTTAGTGATTTGCGTAGACCTGAATTTTTGACAAACTCCCTGATATATCAGAGGCCCGCAGGTGGGCCATCAGTTTACACCTTGAGAAACACTGGTGTGATGGAAAGAGAATTAACAGACAGCTCAATGAATGTGTTTTATTTCCAGTGACGCCACTTACTTTGACCCTGGGAAAGTCATTTCATTCTCCTAGTCCCAGTTTCTTCATTTGTGAAATGAAGGGTCTTACAGCTCTGACATTCTAGGATTCTAGGTGAGGCAGGATTGTCTACGACCCTGTCCCGCAGGAAGGAGACTGGGCGGCGCGGTTCTGGAGCCCCTTGCTAAGCTGAAGGGGTCCACTAGCTGTCTTTGGAGGTCTGGCTGAGAAGGACTGTGGCTTTGGGGGCCATGTCTGCAGGTGTCAGGGGCGAATGGAGCTCAGAAGATCTCAGCCCTGCTACAGGCGAGGGGCATCCAGCTGGCCTTCATCGTGGACGAGGGTAGCTTCATCCTAGATGGTCTCGTTCCCAACCTCAAGAAGCCCTTTGCCATGTGAGTAAAGCACGCTGTCTCCCACCTGGAAGGCATTCTCACCCCATGTGAGATGACAGCAGCCTGGGATCTGTGAGCTATGCTGAGACAGCTTCTTTTAATTCCTCTTGCTTTAGTCACTGAGCTTCAGCCAAGTTTGGGCTCCCCCGTCCCTTCCTCCTCTAGTCTAGATATTTTTAAGCGGCATGAAGCCGATCTCCCAGCCCCCTAGACCACTGTGCAGACGGGCCTGTGGGCCATGGCATAATTCAGGGCAGGAAGAAGTCAGGAGGGCCCTCTCTGATCCTCTCCTGCAGGGTTGCCGTCTCAGAGAAGGGTATGCTTAACCTCGAGCTGCAAGTGAACATGACTCCAGGCCACTCTTCAGCTCCTCCAGAGGAGACAAGCATTGGCATCCTCGCAGCTGCTGTCAGCCGGTAAGCGGCTCCCGGCCCTGCTCCCTTGCCAGACTCACCGTGGAAGACCTGGCACTTTCTCACTTTGACTTTGAAGAGGCTAAGCTTCCCGCCCTGAAGCTGGCTGAGAAGCCATGGTGGGGCCTCAGGGAGGAGAGGGCTGCAGCACCCAGGCAACGGGGAGACACAGCAGGGGATGTGTCCACATGGCAGGCAAGACCAGCAGGGGAAAGCTGGATCAGGTAGCTGGAGGAGTGCAAAGTGCAGAACAGGAGTCAGAAATCGAAAATGGCTATGACGGGCAGAGTTGTGTGACTTTTCCACCTGCCCCCGCAAAAGAAGAAAGACAAGTAAAGGCAGCTGGCTGTGGGTGAGGACAGCAGGGTCTGTGACAGTGGAGCTCACCTCTGCCTGGGTTTTCTTATAAAGTGGGAAGAAGAACTATCTTTATTCAGTTAAATATTTAGCTGACCATCTACCGTGTTCGGGGCTCTGTGCCCCGTGATGTACGGTGGGGGAGAGCAATCTCTCTCCTCCAGGAACTCACAGTTCTGCCACAGTGTGGGAGGTGCCATGAGAGGAGGGTGCGCTAACTCGGATTGGTAGACAGGGATAGCTCCTGCTGGTGGAGAAGAGGTGGTCCAGCTTGTGCCTTGAGATCTTGGAGTGGTTGGGTTGGTAGAGGTGATAGAGAGGTGAGTGGGAGATGTCCTGGCCAGGCCTGTTGCAACATCCTCTCTCCCTCCTTCTCTTCAGACCGTGATCTTTGACTGGGGTTAGGTAAGTCTTGAGAACGTCATTTCTCTTCCAGACTGGAGCAGACGCCAATGCCAAACATGTTTGGAGGCGGGCCATTGAAGATGGCATTGCAGCAGCTGGCAGATGAGGTGTGGGAAAGAGTCTTGCCGGCTCCTGATCAGCTGTAGAAGAGGAAGAAAGAGTGTCAGAGAAGTAGCCTTTAGAGTAATGAAAAGGCCCTAGGTTCACAGTGCTCTGCCTTCTGTGACCTATTCCCGTCCAGTGGCGGAGCCAAGACCCAAGGGAGATCTCAAGCAGGGAGAGACCCAGGCCTCGGGTACAGTGGTCATCTCGTACTGACCCCTCTGACGTCTTACTGACCTGGTTCTTTCCCTTCCAGTTTCCCTTCCCTATCAATATAGTCCTGAGCAACCTGTGGTTATTTCGGCCCCTTGTTAGCAGGTAAAGTTTTGTCTTTCTTTCCCTCACGTCCCCCACCCCAAATTTCCCCAGCCCCTCGGCCCCTCACTTTGGCTTACCTGGGCCTGACTAACTGTCCCTCAGCCACAAGGCACTATATCTAATTCATCTCTAGGATGTCCCTCCTAGTCTTAAAGCTCTCCAAGGTTCAGGGAAGTGGGTGATCCTCCAATCAGTTCTTTCTGCATATTAGACAGTTCTTCCTAACATCTGACCTTAGTCCTTTTGCTTTAGGTTAATGGAGAGGAATAAGATAACCAGCGCACTGGTCAGGACCACCACAGCAGTCACCATGTTCAAGGCAGGGATCAAGGTAACATTGCCTGGTTCCTCCCAGACACCTTTTCCTCGATGCCCACCTACACCTCCATCCTTTGGCTTTATCTCTGGCTCCTCCTTCCTCCTCTGCTTACAGTTTGAGTAATAGGAAGGCCCAGAGCTGAACTGTCCTCTGTCATCAGTTGGTTAACCCTCAAGAACAAGTGTTCTAGCTGAGGTCTACAGAACCTCTGAAATTGCTGGCCAGATTTTGTATATGTGTAATGTATGGGGTTCACAGCCCCCTCAGGTTCTTCGGGTCTGTACTCCTTCCAGAAAACAACCATTACGGGCCAGCCCAGTGGCGTAGCGGTTAAGTTTGTGCGCTCCGCTTTGGTGGCTCAGGGTTCACTGGTTCGGATCCCGGGTGCGGACATGGCACTGCTTGGCAAGCCATGCTGTGGTAGGCGTCCCACAAATAAAATAGAGGAAGATGGGCATGGATGTTAGCTCAGGGCCAGTCTTCCTCACACACACAAAAAAGCAAAACAACCATTATACTAGTGTCAGGAGGAGGAGTTATTTGGGAGTTAATACTCATTCAACGTGTTATGTATTTACCTAGCATTTTGGTCATGTAGACTAAAGGTTTCTAACCTTTCTACCACCAAGGATCTTTTTATTATTCTTTCTCATATTTTGAAAGATTTGTCTACCTAACAAATTTAATGAATGATTAATGTATTTTCCCCTAGTGTTATGCTGAATTGAAAGAGAGAAACTTACCTGCCATTTATAAAATCTAGAATGTTTGTGATCTATACCACACTTAAAATATACACATTGTCCTCTCCCGAAATACACTAAATATTGAGTGGCCTTAGAAAATGTAAATTCTATATGAGGCTTACTTGCATAGAAATAAGTTTCAGGGGAATCAACACGGAAAATTTTTATTCCAAGAACTGCTTTTCAGCAAATTGGTCTACTTCCAGTTGGATTGCCCACTTAGGGACATCTCTGTTTAAAGGAACAAGCCACAGCCACACTCGTTAGCCTGGACCTGGTCTCTCTCAGATCTTGAAAGGAGTGAGACCATTCCTGTTACTACCAGTACTACCAGCCCCGCTTCGAGGAGCACACTGACCTAGAACACACCGTGGCCTTTGGACATCTGGTGATCTGGAGCCCAGGTTGAGTACACGTGATTGGTGCCTCAGAATTAATTCCCGGCGTAACTGGAGTGTCCAGTGTCAGCCAGGCCCAAGCCGTCTTCACCAGCTGCCTAGAGTGTTCACCAAAATAATCGTACTGTGTCCTTGCGTTGGAATGGTGCTTTTATCTATCCAGAGTGCTTTCCCATTTGTTCCTCCGCTTGATCCACCTGACAGCTCTGTGAGCGTTATTGCTCCAATTGCCAGTTGAAAAACAGAGGCACAAAAAGGTGGTAATTATTCAAAACCACACAGCTAATTTGTAACAGCCCAGTTCTCCTATTCGTAGTCCGGTGCCTTTTTGCAGCATACCACTTCAAAGAAAGACATGCAACTGAGGACTCGGTTCTCTCATGGCCTCTGAGGAAAAATCCCTTCATAGCTTAACTCTCTTCTCCAGTTAGTCCTGGGTTCTTCCTAGTCAGGCCAGGCAGAGTCAAATTTCACAGCTGGACATGAGAAACCACCACCAGCACCATCATCCCCCTCAGGGATCAAACATGCCATCATGGGGGACTGCAGAGGCTCTGGGTGCCCTGTCCAGAGGGCACTAACACTGACCGCTGGGGACCCTGGGAAAGAGCGCACATGGAAGACTGCCAATGGCCCTGCACGGTGCCGAAACAGACGTCTGGGTGGTCAGAGAAAGCACTTCTGCTCTGAGCAGCTCTCTGTGACCCCCTCCAGCTCCCAGAAGCCTGAAGGTCTGGCCTGAAGCAGAGACAGACCTCTAGCTCTGAACATAACCACATGGGAAGGGCCCAGAGAAGGAAGCCAAGGGGCAGGCTGAAACAAGTAAGCCCAGGACCTTTAAATCAGATTGCTTCCTTCCCTCCTTCTGGTGGTAGTTGACGTTTCCTGGGCAGGGCTCGGGTGTAGGGGACTTGAGATTGGATCAGGCCAGAGTTTGTGCTTCTCTCTCTAGGTGAACGTCATCCCCTCGGTGGCCCAGGCTACAGTCAACTTCCGGATTCACCCTGCACAGACAGTCCAGCAGGTACGTGCCATATGTCCCGACAACTAGTCCAGCATCAGGAAGGGTGGCCCTGGGGACCTTGGTGTAGCTGCAATCCCAGGGCTGGCCCGGTCTCTCATTTGCTCAGCCAGCACTTTTCAGAGTCTTCGTGTGCCGGGTACTTGGCCAGGGTGGGCCATCTCTGGTTTCAGGAACTTGGAGTCTCGCGGGGTGCGGATGGGACATGAATGCTAGGGGCAAACACACACAGTGGGCTTGCTGGGCGTTGGGGGCTGTTCTAAGGTAGACACACACTCATAGAATCCCCACAGCCACCCTATGACGTAGGAGCTGTGTTCTCCCCCTTTCACAGGGAAAACAGAGGCACACATCAACAGTGCAGGTAAGGAACGTGCCCAGGACAGCACTTCTAGGAGTCCAGTTCCAGAGTCTGTGCTTCTAGCCACCACACTGATCGTAACAATTGGGATGAACAAATTACCGTAGGACCAGTGCAAGGAAGGGGACTGATGCTACCTCTGAGGGTCAAGAAAGTCTTCTGACCACTAGAAATTTCAGCTGGGACTTAAAAGACAAATAGCACTTTTCTAGAAGTAAGGCAGTCAGAGTAAGGCTAAAGTAAGGATAAGGAGTATCCTCTAAAGAGTAGGATAAACTGGGGAGAAGTGATGGGAGATGAAAGCGGATCAAGGCCTTGGTGCCACGCTGAGGAGTTGGAGATCTGATCTGTGGACAGGAGGGAACTGTGACGGTCTCCAAACAGGGCTATGCTGTGCTCAGATTTGCTTCTAGGGGGACAGCACTGGTGGCAATGCAGAGGAAGAGCTGGGGCGGGAAGAGACAGTTAGGAAGCGGTTGCAGCGTCTCAGGCAGTGGGCATGAAGGTCTGAGTGGAGGTGGTAGACATGGGGTGGTGACGGGGGCACCTGCCAGAGGTGTGGGAGAGGGCTCAGGGCGTGATGTGTGACAGATGGGGGGTGAGGGCAGGATGACTCTAGGGGTTTTAACCCGGGTAGTTGGCCAGGTGCTGATGCCTTTAAGCAAGTTCGGGAGTTCGGAAAGAAGAACAAGTTCGCAGAGAAACATGATAGTTTAGAAGATCAAGACACTTAGAATATATTAATAGGCAATTATAAGTACCTCAGGTCCAGAGAGAGAATGAACTGGAGGTAGAGGCTAGAGAGTTATTAACAGAATTGAAACCTCTAGAGTCAATAAAATCCCATGTGAAGGACGTGTGCAATTAGGAGAGGAGAGTGGGGCTGGCCCGATGGCACAGCGGTTGAGTGCTCACGTTCTGCTTCGGTGGCCCAGGGTTCATCAGTTTGGATCCCGGGTGCGGACCTACGCACCGCTTGTCGGGCCATGCTGCGGTAGGCGTGCCACATAGAGTAGAGGAAGATGGGCACGGATGTTGGCTCAGGGCCAGTCTTCCCTAGCAAAAGGAGGAGGATTGGCGGTGGATGTTAGCTCAGGGCTGATCTTCCTCAAAAAAAAAAAGTTAAAAATGAGGAGAGGAGAGGGTTGAGCACAGCCTTGCAGTAGTCTGCTACAAACATCAATTTAAAAATTATTAAAATGAACTTAAGTCCTATGACAAGGGGATGGTGCCTTTAGAGACTATAGGAAAAGGGACAGGTGCTGTTAGAGACTATAACAAGGGACCGACCAGACCTTGTGTGGGGTCAGGCCAGGCTTCCCTGACGAAGTGACATTTGAGCTGAAATCCAAGGGGTGAGTAGAAGTTATACAGAATGTTTGGCATCTACAGGAAAGAGCAGCTCCTTTAAACATCAGGTAAGCTAAGAAGAATTCAAAAGGTGAATCTAATCCTTCACAGCATGATCAAAAGAGCCCACCCGACTTCTGTCCGAGGGAGAATGCGCTCAAGGACGAAGCAGGGCTCCGGGCAGGAGGGGTTTCCTGAGTCTCTGGCCAGCCACACCTAGACTCTGGTCCCTTCTCCCTCAGCCGTTCCCCATGGAGGGTTTTGTTTGTCCTCACACAGGGTGGGAGGCACACCCCTCGTTGCAGCGCAGGGAGGAGAACAGGCATTCGCAGGGCCTGGGACCAGTGGGAGCCCTGTGCTCTGCTGCTTTTCATCGAGCGCCAACCTTTGTGCTCTCCCTGGGCTCATGGGGCCAGGAAATCACTCAGTTTCCCTCATTGAGCGTCTTTCCACCAGTGTTTTTCCAGCCTCACTCCCAACTCCATGCCCTTTCCAAGGCCTGTTTTCCACGAGCCGGGGCTTTCATCTCCCCAGGTGCTGGCACTCTTCCCTCCTCTAGTCCCCGGCAACAGCGGCCTTCCTTCCCTGTCTGTCTGATGAGATCCCTGGAGTCCCTGGGCCATCCTGCCCCCCTGCCCCAGTGAAGAATGGAAAGCCTCCATGATCCCGGACGCACAGCGCCCCTTTGTCCTCATCACTCCTCTCCCTCGTGCCCAGTGCCACGAATCAGGGACACTCCCTGCTGCTCTGCCGGCAGAGGCTGCAGAGCCTTGGGCTGGATCTGGTGGGCACATAAACGGCTCCCAGAATCCTGTTCCTCCGTCTTTACCTGGTCTCCCTCATGTCGTGCATCTCACTAGGTCTCCAGCACCTGCCTATGAGGAGCAAGAGTCTTCAGAAATGGAATAGGCTACTATGTGGAAAGGAAGATTTGTTCTGAATGGGCCTCAAGGAGTACAAATTAGGCCGCTGGGAGGTGCTTAAGATGAGCCCCCCCCCCCCCCCTTAAAGGGGAGTTTTGGAATATGGCACCTTGGATGGTAATGAGCTCCTCGGAGGCTGGATGCCCACCTGTCTAGCATATTGTACAGAAGAGTCCTTCCTTCCTTGATTTGTTCATTCACTAAGTGGCTACTGTGGGCTAGACATTCTAAGTGCTTCTAAGCACTTGGGAAAATGGTGAACAAGACGGTCAAGATTCGCATTCTAATGGCACTTACATTCTAGCAGGGAAGACAGCACTAAGCAAGTAATGAAACAAATGAACAAGGCGATTTTTTAAGAGATGAGTACCATAAAGAAAACCATAGGATGGTGTGTCACAAGGTGGTTGTGGGGTGGGGGTGGAACAGTGGGCTGCTCTCTGAGAAGGCGTTTATACTGAGACCTGAGGAGGAGCAAAGACCTGGGGAACAGCATCCAGGCAGCAAGAGCACAGCCCTCTAATTTCGACAAAGGTGAGATTCTGCTGAGCATTTATGATGTGTCTAGTACTATGTTATATCCTGTAGAGTATATATAATATCAAAACAAAAAAACGAGAGGGGTCAGATGCGACAGGAAGCCATATCTCAGTTTGTTATAAGGATGACATTCATAACCGAGTTGCTCAAAGGTGGGATGGCATATGGCACAGGAGGGTGAGCTCCTTGCCGCTGGAAGTTTACAAGCACAGGTGGGCTGCTAGCTGCCGTGGATGTTCTAATGAGCAGCCTCACAGCAGGACAAGCTGGATTTATCATTCTAAAGACCTTACCAATTTTTAAGTATCCATTGTCCTTGCCTTCAACAAATTTACCAGTCACTTGAGAGGAAAATATATCTAAAGAGGAAACAGAGACTAACATAATGGTGTGGGCGTGTGCTATAAGGGCTGTGGGAGCTCAGAGGAGAGAGAGCTCAATGTGCTCTAAAGTGACCTTAGACGTCCCTCGTACCGTTGACAAGTCCCTCCTCCTGGTCTCATCCTTGTGCCTCTGATCACTACCCAGGGTGCCCCCCTCTTCAAAACAAGTAACGGCTGACATTTATTGAGCCTTTTCTCTGTGCCAGGCGCTGCCTAGGCATGTCGCATATATTCCAGTAGTGGTCACGACCGCTCACCAGGTAGATGCTGCTATTATCCACAGGTTAACAGATGAGCACAGGGGTTAAGGAGCTTGCCCGAGGTCACACAACAGTAAGCGGCTGTCCAAGGCACAAAGTTTGGCGTCACTCCTCGGTTTTTGTGTGCCCCTTTCCATTCTCAGACTGCCTTTTGCCTTTTCTCCATCCATTTCATATCCTTCTTTCAAATTCAGTATTCTTCAAATACTCTTCCTTCAAACTCCGCCCTCTTTCTGGCTCTACTCCTCACCATCTCAACCTATAGGTACCTTGGAAGCAGTTACGCCTTGTCCTTGTGAAGTCAGACCGACCGGGTTCAGATACCCAGCTCAGCCATACTGCTGTGTAACCCTGGGCAAGTTACTTAGTGAGAAAACTCCTGTTATTTTGATTGGTTCACATCTTTTAAATTTCATGCCTTTTATGTTCTTGGTGCTGGAAATATAGAAATGAGGTAGAGACAGCTCTGCCCTAGAGGCAGGACCTGGCCAGCAGCTAGTGGGAAACGGGCTCTTGTGGCCTCTCACTGAGGAGGGTGCAATTTGTGTGCCTCTTGAATTTCTGGGGGCAGTAAGTAATTTGGGGCAGAGGGCACAGTCCCAACTCACCTTATAGGAAATGACTTCAGGAACGTCCCAGTGGGTCTAGAATATATCAAAATTATATATAATTCTTACATCACAGTATTTGGAACGTAAGTGCTAGAGTGAAGATAAGCTCTCATGAGTGAGTTGACCTCCCCCCAATCCAGCAGCAGGGGATTTGGTTTGGCTCAAATGGTGGTGTCTAAGCCAGAAGTAGGAGCCCTCATTTCCTTTCCAGACTCAGCTCCTAGCATGCTTCGAGGGGACACTGACCCAAAAGGAGTACTCTTGAGATAATGTCCCCCGTGGGATGCTCCCCTGTCTAGGGCAGAGGCAGTACAAGGCACCTGCTGATCAGATGGGTTGAGACTGTGCTGGGGCTTTCCCTTGGTGGCTGGGTGGCTTTGAGGGGCCAACGTAAGCCAAGCTTCTGGGCCAGTCCCACATGGCTGTGTGGGACCTGATCCTCAGTGTCTGCTCTACATCCTGCCTCAGACCAGGACTTTGGCTGGATTCAGCTCTAGTCATGTCAGACTGAATTTTCTAGGAGCTTCCTCAGGTACTTTCCTGAGGAAAGGAGCCAAAGAGAAAACTTGAATCTGTTACCAAAACCAAAGTGGGTTCCCTCCTGGTGAGTTAAATCAGACTCTCCACCAGAAGTGGTTGTCTCACAAAGTAAAGCGTATTTGCAGCAAACAGGAGACCACGAGGAATCGTTTCCAGAGTCATGGTGTCCCCAAACAAAGGGAAGCAGGGACCTTTTATTTTGGATAGGAAATGAATATTCGAAAGGGAGAGGTGGGTGTTGGCTTGCACAGGCTCAGTTGGGAAATGCTTCCACACACACTGCAGGTGATGGTAATAAAGCCTAAGCTCCTCCTGGAGAGATCTTAGCCTTAAACATAAGGCAAAAGCAAAGGTCACAGTGGTGAGGCTTGGTCTGGTTCGTGGAGATTGGTGATTGCATCTCCTTAACATAACAAAAGGGAGAAAAACAATTTGGAAAAACAGTTAAATGCATCCAAACCCACCCTAGAGTTCCCCGGGGCAGTTAGTGGGTGACAAATGCAGTCCCTCAGCTCCTCACTTTGTGTCTCTGAGCTCATCTTCCTGGCTCTGGTGCAGTTGGTTACAAACAGGAAGCAGGGATGTCCAGAGAGGGGAAGACAGTGTGTGACCCTTTCATCACCTGTCTGAGACTGTCCCAGGTTGAAGTGAAGTCATCACGTCTAGCCCCCTGCCTCCAGGTGGTTGAAATTGCCATTCGGCTGTTTCTTCTATGATTTCACCCAGCCAGTGGTTCACGACCCAAGGGGAAGGATACGTAATTTCCTGATTTTCCACTTCCCCACCTGCCTCCTGGCTGTGAGGCAAGGCCCCCGAACATTAACCTATATCTTCCATGCTGTAGATGCTTCGCAGGAAGACCTAGCTCTTCTGTCTCCTATGGTCAGTCGGCTGAAATTGAGGTCCTGGTGCTAAAATGCGTCTCTGTCAACACCAGGGCCTTGCCTTGCTGGAGAGAAATCAGGACTGTTTAAATTCATATGGTACTTGGATAGCAGATGAGCAAGAAATCAAACTCCCTCTGTTTGCCCCCTTGAGGTCCTAGAACTCGTCAAGAACATTGTGGCTGATGACAGGGTCCAGTTCCACGTGCTGAATGCCGTTGACCCCCTGCCCAACAGCCCCTCTGACTCTCAGGCTTTCGGCTACCAGCTGCTCTGCCAGACCATCCAGTCCGTCTTCCCGGAGGTCCACATTGTTGTCCCAGGTAATGACTTCGTCAGCTGTGGCTGGAGGGAGGTGGGGGCTGTGCCTGTTTCCTCTCCAGTGTCCACTGCCCCACCCCCACCCCAGCTGTTCAGCCTGGAAACAGCTGGCTGCTTCCCCACCTGATGGGACTGGAACTGTATTTTCCCCTCCGAGTGGAAGTGAGAAAGCAAACAGGAAAGGAGCAGAAACAATAAATTAGGTCAGTCAAGCCCAGGTCCTTGCTTAACCCAGGCCAGCCACTCTGGTATGGAGGAGAGGGTTGGCCCTGCTTCCCCTCCTCTGGAGGAGCCACAGAGCGGGCCACATTCCCCCCAGTCTGGTTCTGATCTGTTCTAGGACACCAGCTCAGCAGCAGACCTCTGAACCGCAGCCCAGACATGCCTCCTGGCTCTACTGTTGGCATCAACTCCCTTCATCTCTCCCAGCAGCGGCACCTCTGGGACCTATCCCCAGTCTTCCACCATACCTTCCAAATCTGTGCTGTGTGGACAGCGGTTCTCAAATTTAAGAGTGAAAGAGGATCATTTAGAGAGCTTATTAAAATGCAGACTACCTAGACCCACTCCCAAAGATTCGGGTTAACCACGTCTGGAGAGGAACCAGGAATCACCTTTTAAACAAATAGCCTGGGGGATTCTGACACCAGATGAAGGCTGACCACAGTTTGGGATTCTTCAGTCTGTGATGTCAAGAGAAGATGCTCTGATATTAAGACCTGTGTTCAGTTTCCTTCTATGTGGGTTTAATTGTGGATTCCCTTATTTTCTAAGCTCCTACTTAGGACCTGCCCCTTTGCTAGGCATGGCTCCTTAAAGAGCTTAGGGTGAAATTCTGTTATCTCCAAATTCCTCAGGCATGAAAAAAGCAGACTTGTTTTTTTCGATCAACTTAAATCTGACCCACTCCTCAGGAAATTCAACCTCAGATGTTATTGAGGTCTCCAAGCACCCCATGGCCCCCACCTTGGATTGGGCCCTCGGGGTCTTAAGCAACAACGTAGCATTGGGATCCCTTAGCCAGTGGTCATCGGTTGTTGTGGTTACCTCTGAGACATCCATTGTCCCAGCCACAAAGTCACTTCAGGTTGAAGATTTACACTGATTCCCTGGCCTGTCTGGGGTGTGGATCTTTGATTCTAAACCTAAGATCCTCCCTGAACACACCAGGCAGCCATCCCCTCTGAGGTCTGCCACTTCCTTGGACTCCTGCCACAGAGCAGGGCCTGGGTCCCCACCGTCCAGGGATCCTGGCCCTCACAGTTCCAGAGTTGTTCTCTCTTGGCCCTCAAAGGCTCCCTCCTTTACGCTCTCACTTCTGGGGCACCTGCCATAATCCCATCAACAGAGTTAGGCTTGTACGGAAAAAAGATAAGCAGACATCAATTGGCAGAAATCCCTAAAGCAAGGAATTATGAAGGGCCTAATTATCCATTTAAAACCAGGAGTGGAAAGTAGAACAAAACAAATTACCATTGCAAATCATGCCACCCCACTTTATTTTATTTTATTTTATTTTTTTAAAGGTTTTATTTTTCCTTTTTCTCCCCAAAGCCCCCTGGTACATAGTTGTGTGTTGTTAGTTGTGGGTCCTTCCAGCTGTGGCATGTGGGATGCTGCCTCAGCATGGCCTGATGAGCGGTGCCATGTCTGCGCCCAGGATTTGAACTGGCAAAACTCTGGGCCACTGAAGCGGAGCACGCGAACTTAACCACTCGGCCACGGCCACGGGGCCGGCCCCACCACCATACTTTAATTGATGCTCCAGGGGGTCTTTTCCCAAAGAATACTCCTACTGAGGACAAATCCCAGCGCCAGCTGGGGACTGTGGCAGCCTGCTACCTTCAGGAGAGTGGGACATTCGAGAGTATCATGGGACTTTCCAAACCTGAGGTTTGACTCTAGGAAGACAGTCATCCTCCAGAGGACAAAAATAACAGGAAATTATGTTCTGCTCTAAGAAGATTGCATGTTACAGCAGTAAAGTTCCCCAGAGAGTGTTTATTTCTGACCTAGGGTGATATACAAGAAAGCTCAGACAATAAAGAAGTGATACCTAGATTTCTGAAACAGTCTGGCTACATATGAAATGAAGATATCAGCCTCCCTGGTCACCACAGAGAGAGGGCACTTAGCTTTGGTACATTCAAGGGATAGCTCGCTAATGTTCTTGGGAGAAAATGCCATGTTTCTGGCTGAAATGGTGTTTTAGTAAAGTTTTGAGAATGGGTAGCCTGAAGGACAAAAATTCATAGCTGCAGCTTCCCAGGAGGGTCCAGGCATTATTCTCTAGTGACCCGGGGGCTTAATTTTCCAGCCAGCCCACCCCCCACCACTGCCTTGTCTTGGTTGCTCACATGAAGCCCCATTCCTCTGCATCTTCCCTTTCTAGGTATTTGCATTGGCAACACAGACAGCAGACACTATACGAACCTTACCACTGGCATCTACCGGTTCAACCCCGTCTACCTGCAGCCTCAGGGCTCCTATGGGTGAGTGAGTGGAATAGGTTTAATAATAGGGGGGAGAGGAGATGCACCTGACCTGTCCCTTTCCCAGCCTGTTCTCCTGACAGTCCACAGAATGGAGGAGAGCCAAGGTTTGCACAAAGTAGAGACACAGTAGAAGCCAACTGGCCAACTTTCCTCCTTGCAGTCTTGCCACTCCCCAGAATTTGTGGGAATCGGCCACTATTTTTCAGAGATGGAGATAATCAGATGATTGCAGAGAACCTGGGGGAATTAGCACCCTTGGGTGCCAGTCTCAGCTCTTCCTCCCTTTCGGAGAGTGCTTACCCTCTGGACCTCATTTCTGCCTAAAATGGGGAGACTCCAGAGTTCTCGATTACCACTCGGTGAAATACAGACACACATGAGGTCAAAGCTGGGCTCGTGTTTTGAATTCTCAGAAGAAAACACACTATAGGGGTCTAAGACATGATCACTAATTCTGACTCCTGTGTGTGACTTACTACTTTGTGGGTTCTTCAGCACATTTTCGGTCTTGGGAGTGTGGGGAGATGATTTCCACTTGCCTCTTCTCATCACATTCAGACCTGATTCTCCACCATAAGTCAGTTTCCAACAGCATGAAAATATTTGAATATTTGCTTAAGAACAGCTTTCACGGGTTGTTTTTCTTTGTTTTTTAATGGGAGTGGGGCAGGTACTACTCTTTATTTGCTTTCATCTTTGAAGTTACATGTGTGGTCTGGTCATCTGTTGCATTGTGTTGTGGTGTTGTGTGGAGGCAGATTGCGGGCCTGACATCCGATGGGGAAGTCCCTAGGTGAAGCAGAGAACCCCATAGGTACCCTGGGCGTTTGCCCTTCCTATCCTCTTGTTTGCCTAGTAATGTGGGGGTGGGCAAGGGGGGTGCTGGCTTAGAGTCTAGCTGGGGACTCTGGCCTTAAGAGAAAGAGAATTAGAAAGATAATTTCCCCTCAGAGGAGAAATTATTGAATGGATTTCAGAGGAGGAGATGATTTTGGACTCCCCAGAAGTTCATCATCATCTCCCCCCACTGTTCTTTGCCATGGGCATGGATCCTGGAGAGATGATCAACATGTCACATGAAGCTTCACTTCTCGCTAAGGGCCCCTCCCACCTTGCCCACTTCCTGCCTCTGGAGGGTCCAAGGCCAGTGCTTCAGATGATGTGCGGTGCGGGTACTCTGTAATAACACTTGACCACAGCAGTTGGCTCTCTCCTCTCTTCCCCCAAATCTCTTTCCCTCAGCATCCACGGACGCAATGAGAAAATCTCAGTCCAAGCCTATGAGAGCCAGGTGAAGTTCATCTTTGAGTTTATCCAGAATGCTGACAGAGACTGGGTGCTGGTTCCTCACCAGCACGAACTGTAGGGTGGAGGAGCCAGCTGCATTAGGGGTGCCTGATGCTGAGTGACGACCAACCCAAGGGGGAAGCCAATGTTGATGGAAGTTTTGGTCAAAACCACATTGTAATACATCACCCATCTGCCTTGCTGTCTCCTGAACTCACCCAAGAACTAGGCTGGGGAGTAGGGGGGCCAGCATATTTCTTCTTGCTGTACCTTCCTTTCCCTTCCTCCCCGCTTGGATTATCTAGCTGGCTCTTCATCTCTCCTCTCCTGCCCCTGCATCCCTCCCTTTATCCTCCAATTTATTCTACATCTGGAGCAGGACTTAGGCAAACTGTGATACTACTATAATTACCACAACAGTTGGTCAAATAAAGTGATCTGTGCAGCATCACCTGGTCACTGAGGGGTGAAACTGAGGCAGGGGACTTTGGAGGAATCCCAAACCTCCTGGCTCTGGAAGCTGGAGCCTTGAGAAGAAAGCCTCTGTCCTTGGGCTCCTCCCAAGGGCTCCCTGGGCTTTGCTCCCTCCCCTGCCCTGTTCCTGCCACCTGCTGCTGCTGTCCCACCCCAGGAGGCACTAATCTGTGGAAACATTTCCCTGGCACTTAATGTGGGCTGAGCTCCCAAGGGAAGGGCTCTCGTGATCCAGCCTCTCAGTGGAGGCCAGGCCTGGCACCATGTCCTGGTTCAGACCTATTAAAGGGAAGTGGAGGGCACAGGGTGGGGAGGGAGGGGGGAGGAGACTGGCTTGAGGGGTTCTGCCCTGGCTAGTGAGGCATGAGGAGGGACAAGCTGCCCTCCCTTGGGGACAGCAGAGCCCCTGTCTTTTTTCTCTGGAATCCGACCCTGAGCATACTTGAATCTGCTCAGTAGCTGCCAGGTGGGAGGCATTGGAAGGCAGCATTTCTTGGCTCACTGGCTGGGAGCTGTACTTTGTGCATCACAAGGGACTTGGGGTCACGGAGGGAGGCAGAGGGAGCAGGGACCTGTGAGACTCCCTTTTTTTTCCCTCACCAGACAAGGACCTTTCATGCCTTCCTGGGATTTGTCAGCAGTGGGCTCCTTTTCCCTCCCCCCTCGCCACCTCTACCCCCACCCCCAGTGCCTGTGAGCTATTCCTTGGAGCTCGGGCTTAATGGGAAGTATTAGAAACACAGTGCGGGGATTATTTGAGATTTTTTGCTACTCCATGATTCACATTCCTTCCCTCACCCTCCCTTTTTTGGCCAATTCAGTACTTATTCAGCCTTTGTTAAGGGGTGAGCTGAAGAACAAAACACTCCTTCACGTTTGTACAGAGCTGTGTAAAATGCTTTCATCCACCTTACCTCATCGGAGCCCCTCAAGAGCCCCATGAAGAAAGTACTGCTCCCCCTTCTTACCAGGAGGACTTGGTTCTCAGAGAAGTTACACAGATTCAGACCCTTGTCACCTGGCCCCAAACTCACTGTTACTCCATGATCCTAAGTTACTGATGGCATCCACTTCCCACTGATTATCCTATTTGATCCTGACAACTCTGAAGTGTTAGCGCCCGTTGTACAGCTGAGGCAGCTGAGACTGAGGTTAAGTATTGTTCAAGGTCATGCAGGTGTTAGGGGCAGTCTCTCTGAATCCAAAGCCTGTGCTAATAGTACTGCAGAGGAAACTGAAACTCAGAGACGTCATCTGCCCAAGGTCACACAGTTCTTAAGGGGCAGCCCCAGATTCAAATGCCCATCAAAAATCCCCCAGTCCGGGGCTTTTTTGCTTGCCCCACACTGCCCGTCCCAAGAACCTGTGCTGGTGGCTCATTTGTTCCGATCCAGGGAGATCTCAGAGACAAAGACTGCTCTCCTGTTGGATTTGGTTCTCAGCTCAGGCTCTCTGTGTTCCCCTGGCTGACCTCTCCCTAGTCACACCTCTCCCTCTGTCTGCCAACACTCCTTACCACCCCCAGCCCCACCCCCAGCTTCTGGGTTCAGCCCTTCTCCTTTCTCTGAGTTTGCGGACAGCCTCGTCTCTAATGATCTGTGGGATGACAGAGAAGAATGAGCAGGGGACCCTGTCCCCATCCGGTCTCACCACTCTCTTCTAGCGTCTGAAAGGATAGTCTTCTGAGCCCCCAGAGTAGAGAGGAAGGCTTTTGAAGGGACTGCTCCAAACTCTGCTCAGAGAGCAGACACTCCAGGCCCCTGAAGGCTCCTGGAGGGAGCAGCTGAAAGTGCTGGCTGGGCAGCGTGGGGAGAGAGCCTGGGACTTTCCTCCGCCCCCGCACCCATCCATCCACCACTCCCCAAATTCACCTTGAAAGAACGCCGGCAGATAATCACAGGTGTACCCTACGTCCTCATGAAGGACTTAGCTCAAGCTTGTTCCTCACACCTCGCTCCCTAAGGCTGGAAGGAGGACAAAAGATTCCAAGCAAAGGGAATGGGAAAGGAAAGGAGTGAAGTTTGACTGGGGTCCCTTGGTTTTGAACCTGGGTTGCTAAAAATTTGACCATTGTAGATCCAGTATTCTTTTCCTCTTTCCAGAGGAGAGATAATAGAGACAAAGTTACTACCGAAGAGCTGAACACTTCATTAATTTTTTTGAATTTAACTCTAATTAAATATTTTTATAAAAATGAAACTATTTGCGATTTAAATGTTCACTGACGATGTAGCTAACAATAAAAAGAGTATCATGTTAAATATATGTTGCATCTATAGCTACAAATATAAAAATGTAAGAAGAATATAAATTGTTTAACACTACCGAATTTTCCTCAGCCAGCCTGTGCAGTGTTGCAAATACTACACTAATTCCTGAGCGCCTCCAGCACCAGACTGGAACTAAGAGGAACAAGAAAATGGCCGCTCAGCATGCTGGGAAATGCGTGTCATGCAGGCATCTACTCAGTTATGCTATCTGAGAGGAAGGATTTTACAAGTCAATTTTCTTTTCTCTTAGCTAAGCGCTCTGGCAGCTCAATTCCTCCCTGCGCTCCAAAGGCACATCTTCTCCAAAGTTCACAGTGACACCATCCACAAACATTCAGGGCGTTCAGACGTAATTTTTTTTTTTCCTGAAGACGTAGGGCAAGATTTGGAGAGATGTGTTTCTCTAGGGCCTGAACTGTGTTCATCTCAGGAATGTCTGTTTAGGGTGACCCGTTGCTCTGTGCCAGCACTGAGTGCTGGATCTCAAGTGACGAGAACACCCCTGGACTTTTAATAGATTTCCTTCTTTTGTGGTTGTAATATATGGCGCCTTCTAAAGCATGAAGCCCTGGACAGGGGGCTCTCTTGCCCAAGCCTAAGAGAGAAGGTCTTATTTTATATACTCCATGGTGCCTGGTCTGGGATATTAGGAAGGCCTCTGTGGTCGTGAATAAGCTCAGACTTCAAGACTGATTAAGAGTTAACAAGGCAAAGAGTTGAGGTTGGAGGTTGTGTCAGACAGAGAAGAGAGTGTGCAGAGACTATGAGGCAGATGAGAGTGGTGTACCTTCCAGAAACTGAAAGGAGACCTGTTTGGGACTTTCAAGTCAGGATAGGGATTTTGAACTGTGACTTAAGGACAGTGGGAAAAGGAAGAATAGTTAAGAGGTTGTTTTCCTTTTTTCTTCCTTCCATCTTTCTGTCCCTCTGTTCTTCCTTTTATTCTTTCTAACACTTATACAGTGA